GGACAGGAGATATCCAGTCTTCACTTTCCAGTTTTGATAGAGTTCAAAAGTGTCTCCGCGTCCTTGTGGGTGATGACCTATTTTCCACCCAACAACCACTTTCTCCACAGATTAAATATGGCAAGCCTATTGCTGCTCAGTTGCTATTTCCATAGAAATAACATGTTCAAGTCTAGAGTTAACCGTTATCTTCCATACACATCCGCATAAGCTGGGCCTCTTATTGAGTGGCTCTCTGGCCTTGTACAGGATGAACCTCATTGTGAAAAATGTCATTTCTCCTCTTCAGCTCTTTGCATGCTAAGAATAGCTAAACTGCAGCTTGTGGGACATGTGACTCTTTGATATTTCATGTGCGGCTCATGAAAATGTGTTGGCAAAGTTTCTTCTCTCATCACAGTTAATTTATCTTTGACTCACACTGGATTAAAACCTAATCTTCATGGGTTTTAATAATATTTAAGAACTTAAATCCTAATTGTAATGCTTCATTCAAACAAATCATTCTTCTTCAATGCTGCAAGAAGGGATAGTGAAAAACAGACATTAATGAAATTTGTGGTAATCAATAAGAACTGCAGAAAATGTTGCATTTCATGTCTCTGGCTGCAATTCCTCAGGCCCCAACGCTGCATCAATGGCAGACAATTTCTTTTTCTCATCTCATTTTATTATATGAGGGACAGTAGTTGTAGCATCATTTCTAGGAGAAAGCGGAAGGGAGATGATCAAGAGGACGCATACCAACTCTGGATAGAATTTCATTGCCATGAACTGGTTGCCTCACTGGGAAATCTGAGTGTGGGGGGGGGGGTGTTGAGCCTTCAAATTCTTGCAGCCTTCTTTGTACCTTTTTTGTTTTATATAAAAACTTAGGCAATCAGAGTTTTCTGACCAGTAATTTGCTATTCTAGGCCAGTCTACGCATTCTGCAACAAAGAATGCTGTCACAGAGCTCTCAAACGTTATATCTTTATTCTATGCATCTCCTTATCAACCAAGTTTAATAGAATTTACAGGGATCTGCAAAGCCAATGCATGATGCCACATCAGAAAATCTCTCATCAGCAGCTTTAGGACAATAATTGTTTTTTAATTGCCCGACCCCAAGCAAAGCAATAAAGCCACTAAGACAAAAGTGAAAGCTCACACACACATATATATATATATATATATATATATACATACAATGTGTGTGTGTGTGTGTGTGTGTACAATTTAAAAGAAAAAAGAACAGGGATCCGATTGTAAGGTGGAAAAGTTTTAAAAAGGCAAAGCCTTACAACAATATTTGTAACATCTGCCAACAAGAAAAATTAGAAATTATAAAAATTCCGGATCCCCAAAACCTTTTAAACCATAAATCCAAAGTTTTAAGTCCTTGCTCACATATTAGAAAGTTCCTCTTAAGCACATATGAGGCTGGATAAAAAAAAAAGGTAATGTACATGCCAATTAACTCCACACCGATAAATTTATAATACCCTTGCCTTTCTTCTCTTCCCACTTTTTCTTCTACTTCCTTCTTCACATCCTCCTCCTATTACAGCCAACGTCGTCCGTTTGTTTATTTACTTTTGAAAATAATAATATAGTGTTTACTAGCTTGATTTTTTTTTTCAATAAAGCGTTAAGATATCATTTGATAAAAATCGCCTGAGGATACCGTAAGGTTGAAACCAAGGTAGCGGATTCAGCTGACCTCCTGATTTTTAATATATATATATATTTCAACCCAAGTAAGACAATAAAGCCACTATGAATGTGAAGGAATATGAGAAAAAAGAAAACATTATTAAGGAGGGAGAACAACAATAAAAAAAAAAAAAAAAAACAGGAATTAGGAAAAAGGAAGATAACACTTAAATTGCATTTAAATTTTTGACTAGAAAGCAAAAAGCCGGAAGCGCGAAAAAAGAAACTGTTAGCATAGAAAAGCAGAAACAAAAAGCTCCACTATTTTTGGTACAACCTAAATCTTTACAGGACATATCTTGTAATAAACTTCTTTGTCCAGGAAAACAAGATTTCTTGACAGACGGTTCTATGTCGTTTAAAAATTGTATGTTTGAAACTGGAATGGTACACTGTAGAATTTATGCAGTGTAAAATCAGTTGGTACGGAATAGCGTAAAGAAATTGTGTTGCATCAATCTTCCAAGTGAGTAGAGCCGAGTAAACTAAAACTTGAAATTCTTTTACCCCAGCTCAAACTCCGACTGTATCCAGTAAGTCTACTTTATGCAGAGCCTAACTGATTGTTTTTGCTGAAGGAAGGAAACTGGAGCTTTTAAGACAGGAAAGAAAGTGGAGTTCGTTTCTGTCAACCAATGTTCTGAAATTCTGATTAATTATTCATTCTTGAGTTCTCTACAAAGGAAACTAAGAAGCAATAAACATTGTTCAGTCAAAAATAAAAAATAACACAGAAAAAAAATGTCATTACACGTTCTATGATCCATGGTTTTAAAATTGTTTTTCAGCAAGTGGTTTTGCTTTGTATCAGACATATGACATGGGCAGTACAGTGAAAGATGTTTACTTTCATTAACTCATTTGCAGATTCTTCCTCTGAATGGACGAAGGCAGACGATCAGTTTCCAGCTATCCGATTGGTTGATTTTTAAAAAAAGCGCAACCAAATCTCCAGCGTCTTTATATCAACTACTTTTCATTACAGTTAACATTTTGTTTTTCTTCCACATGTTTAGGCTTCCTACCCGAAATTAGACGCATTTCTAACTTCATCTGCTACTAATTCAACCTCAATAACAACAGCCACTTGTAAAGCAAGATTCGCGTTAATCTCGTTAAAATGTTGGGTTTAACGAGCCAACAACGAGAAAAGCCGATTAAACCCAAAAGAGAAGTCAGACAGTGGCTAAGTTTTCTTACATCTGCAATTATAACATCTTAAATAGCACAAATGTTACAAGAATTTGAGAGGAAATGAGGAATAAAGTTCGTTCGGTAAATTTGTTCTTTAATGCGATATGAGGCAAGATTACATGATGTCTTGTATTCACAATGATTTAATGTTACGATTAAATCAAAAGGACCCGTTCCCGTCTGATCACCTAAGTTAAGCATCAGCAAATGTAATCAGTATTTAGATTGAACACCAGGTACTGCGATTGTGCCTTTAAATGCTAAACTACAATCAGGTGCATGCAATAGTTCCCAGCGTATTCAGACTCTAGTTTATAAAAGAGGTACCCTGGGAATTTTTGCACACATGTAATAAACTAAAACAAAGAATTTTACCGAATAACAAGCAGCAGATTAGTTGAAGTCTTCCAACAGCAAAAACAAAAATTGAGAACATGTGTAACTAGAAAGGAAAATGGCATAATCGAAATGTTAGCTTTCCACACATATTTAAACAAAAGGTTAGGGAGGAAACGCGCATCACTACCGGAAAGAGTGATAACAGTTAGTGGACTTGAGAAACCAAATTTTCCTGAAAAACTTTTTGTTTTATAAATTTTAGCTGTAACGTTATCTGTCGATGAATACTAATTTTTCCTGTATGGAAACAGTTAATCACACCATTATCATTGTAAAGTTTGTAAAAGTATTTTTGATACATTCTCTCTGTGTGTGTGTGTGTGTATACATATACATACATACATACATACAGGTAAGTTGAGAACGAATAGAGTACAATTACAACGTTCGTAACATTTAATTTAAAAGAGGGCTCAATACAAAGTATAGCAATATTCTTTATCTTAGGATATTAAATCAAAAACATAAATCGTTCACTTAAGTCATTTACAGACCGCCTGATGAGATTTGTAGATTTGCATCGAATTACAACTGCAATTGTGTAACTTTTTTTTTTACATGTTTTTGATGTAATATCCTAAAAAAAAGTATATATATATATATATATATATATATATGAAGAAATATACTCTTAAGGTGTGCTATATTTATGGGATAAAGTGCTCAATATCAGAGATAGAGCGTGTGTAAATATAAAAGTGAACTTTGAAGTCAACACTTAGAGGCGACAGGCTGTTTCATGCTAGACGCAATCGTCAGGACTGACGATTGCGTCTAGCATGAAACAGCCTGTCGCCTCTATTGTTTATATATATATATATATATATGAGGCCGTACCACGCAAAATGCCAGATTCACAATAATTCTCAGTTTGATGCAGTCAAGATAAACTAAAGTGTAAAATTCATTCATTCATGTTTGTCTCTCGGATCCGAAAAAGACTTTATCTTGGAATTCATCACTGGATCCGGAGGTGGCTATGCAAACATAAGTCTGGAGCAGTGGGGACACTGGAAGTCATTGATTATGACCAATGCTACAGTTCTCTGTGAAAAGAGACTTCTTCGCATCCATTTTGACGGGTACCATACTAGTATATATTTCTGTACATCGTTTTGAAAAGATATCTAAAACAAAGATTTTTTTTGTTGATGCCCGATTACTTTTTTTTTTTTTTTAAGTTTTCTAAATTTGCTTTCCCATATCTTAGGCTAAGAATAAATATTGATGCTGTAATAGTTTCAAGATAGGCTTTGGACTAATAGCATTGTCTACGTACAAACAGGACTGTAATCGCAAAGATTTTAGGAGAGCCATGCCGCCAGTGAGTCTCTCTCAAATACCGAATTCTTCAGTTTAACAAATTCTTAGACATGCACAAAAATCCATGTTTAGTTTTGGATTTCCGGTTCCTTCTAAGTTTACTTCAACTCTATACTTCTAACGTCTCCGCCTGAACTAAAATTTTATTATTTACCCTTCTCAGTAGGAGTAGATAGGTTCACTTACCTACTACTTACCCTTTTGAACAGGATAGAGGTTTATTCCTTGTTCTCTGTTTAGGATTGGGTTTCCGGTTCTAAATTTCTAAAGTTTATTCGTTCTCTTTTACCCCCAGTAACCCCTTGCATTATCGCCTTGTTTGGGGTGAATCGATTTCTAAAAATGTTTACTGACAAACTGTTTTACCAATGAAACAACCACTATGAAGCTTACGGCCACATCACGTCGAAACATTGGTTTCCATACAAACACCGAAGTTAAGCAACGTCGAATTTGGTGAGTACCTAGATGGGTGACTGCTTGGGAATACCAGGTGCTGTAACCTTAGATGTGCAGGTGGTGTAATGGATAATGGCTCAGAATTGTTAATCGGATAGTCGAATTCCAATTTCCGTTAGATTTAATGTATTGACTAACGCGCAAATATACTTAGGAAAAGTATAAATCCACTTCTTCTCCTCCAGACATCGGTTAATTAGTAAAACTTGTATCATTAAATCATTATTATGCAAAAAAATTCTTACAATCTAAAAATATTTTATGGCTTTAAATAACCTTGAAAGGGTTGATAAGCCGAAAAAAAAAAAGAATCAATCGACCACTAGGGATAAAATCATGCAAACGTTTATTTAATAGAAGCGATTTTTGAGTTTTGTGTCGTCTCTGTCATCAATTGTTTAGCCCCTAACGCTTCATCACAGAAGACTGAATCGACGAAGATCTACATTATTATATTTCTAATAAGAAATGATACTAAAAGAGGCTACTTCGACATGGTGTAATGGTTAGCGAGATTGTCTCGCTAGATCAATTACAACTGAGTAGTTAATTAGTTGTACCACATCTAAGCTACGCTTAGAAAAATCAATCTCTCATTTACTTCTCTCTCTTCGGGCAGAGTGCGGCTCATTTTTGGCTCTGGCCGGGCAGAGTGCGGCTCATTTGTGGCTCTGTCCGGGCAGAGTGCGGCTCATTTGTGGCTCTGTCCGGGCAGAGTGCGGCTCATTTGTGGCTCTGTCCGGGCAGAGACGCAGCCGAGGAAAATAAATACTGTGAGGATATGGGCAATTTTTGTCCTTAGCCTGGGTGTATGCACTCGTGTTCCCCCACGTTAAACCCAACCTTGTGTCACATCCCGGGAGAGACAAGGGTAAATAACCAATAGAAGATGATTTCTCATAGAAATATATCCTAACAATTTTAACAACAATGGTTGGTTAATAACAAATCCATTGTGATTATATTACATAATAATATCAGGAATAATTATCGTTGATTAATTTTGTCCAGCGACACAATACCTCTACGGGTTAATTAATGATGGAATCTAAATATTTTGAAGACAGTTTCATGGCTTCAACTTCAGATAAAATGCATTGTTGGTCATTTTGCTGTAAAATTTATTGTTTGTAATTCTACTATTAATATGTATCATTGGTAACTTTTTTATGTATAAAAATGTATTGCTGGTATTTTTACTATAGAAATATATTTTTACTACTTTCGTAGTGTGTGTAGGTTCACTATTTGCCTATAGCTGGGACCCTAACCGGTGCTATCACTCCCATAATATCGTAATTTGGAGATAGATCAATTTATTACTTAATAACAATAGAAAACTGATCACCCACTTTGAGACCATTAGATACTTCTGTTAATGTCTAACGTAAATATATCTTGGAAAATGTTCTCATCATTGGTTGGTTAATACCAATTTTATTGTGAAAAAATTGGCTTGCATAATAACATCTGACATAGTGTATACTCTGTGATGGCTAACAAGCTTGTCTCGTTTCGCAGTTGCATAATGGTTTAACTACAAAAATATTAATAATTTCGTTACTGAGTGTTAGAGAATATTGGGGGGGGGGAATGCTATTAAGGAGAGAGGACGATAAAAGAAGAGAAATGAAGAAGGCAGAAGATAGCGACTGACATTGCATTTGAGCTTTTGAAGATCAAAGTTGACTGGGAAACAAGAAGCCGGAAGAGGGTTCCACAAGCGAGAAGTGCGACAGAAGAAACTCTTAGCATAGAACGTACGGTTACATCTAGCCATTTCAACTTATGATGAGACCTTGCTGCCTATCTAGTACAGCGCTTAAATTCATAAAGTCTAGGTACCACTGAGGAAAGTTCATCAGAACATATTCAGGTTTATTCTTTAGAAACCCTCATTTCAATTTTAAACATTTTCTTGAATTTCATTGGTTGTTAAATAAAAATAAGCTTCGAGAAATTACTAAAACCAAACAATCAAAATTTGTGCAAAAATAGGCTCAACCGACATAAAATCTTTCATTCCTAATTTAAATGTTTCAAGAAATCCTATTGGCTAAAAAATACAACATTCGCCCACGCATTTCTCAGAAAAATTCGCAACAGCTACCAAGCCCCGTTGGAGCCGATTTCGCTGTTAAGAAAACTATAAATAGAAATAGCAAACGAATTTTCGTCGCATTTGAGACTCACACACGCGAAAGATACACACAGGAATTATGTGCCGCAAAAGAAACAAACTTCCTTTATGAGAGATTAGAAAAATTTACACAAACTTTTTCACTCAATATCTTTCATAGAAAAATCTTTTGTCTAAATTAAATTCAACCTTTTTAATCAAAGGCAGACAACTTTTTAGACATTGAACATTTCTGAAACAGCAAAGAACTTTTTCTCTATACCTTTGCACACATCATTACAAACAAAGAAATTGTAAATTGTGTATATAAAATTTAATCTGCTATTTCAAACATGTATTTTTTGTCGTGATTGAATATCGTTACCATTTGGCCATTTCTTATAATTTATGTTTGTAGATATTACATATTTTATTTACAGTACAATCTTAAATATTCACGCAACCTTCTTAGATTCATTACAATTCTAATTTCGGGAGTAGGGCAAAGGGTACGGTGTATGAATATTCATTTGTTTGAAGGATGCACGCCTCTTCAAATTGTATATTTTAATATCTATGATAAAGAAAAAAAAAATGTCATTTGGAAATAGAGACGCGCTCCAGCCATCACAGAAAATACGGTCGATCAGAACTAAACGTCACGTTTTGAAAGCTTTTAATGCCAGTAAGATTTGCGATGAAAGCTGTTTTTGCCATAAAACTCAGTTTACTATCCGGAGTTGGATCAACCTGTTTAAACTTGATACGGAGACGATAGGATGTTGATATTATTCATTTCTTTTCTAACATCCGTAAATCTCTCAGTGGGCCATAAAAATATAGCGAAATATGAATATATAGATAACTGAATCTGCGTCTTCATTTTTATAATCTACAGGTTTCTTTATTATTTATCTATCTCTGTAAACGAAATTAGTAGGAAAAAATGTGGGTCAAGATAAGTAGCTATATTAATAAAAAGATGCGTTCCTTCGTCTAAACTAAACAGAATAATAAAAATAAAAGACAGGATAAGGGAAAAGACGTCGAATGTCTGTTACCATAAAAAAAAGAGAAGAAACGATTACAGCCAAATATAGTTAAAAGTTTAGCAGTTACCTCGAATGAGTCAACTTTCACTTGTATGGATGGACATGACTGTAAGTCTTTTACTGGTTCAGGCCAATGATAATTCAGAGAATCGCTTTTAATACAAACGGGGTTTGTTCTGCCTCTGGTAGTTACCCTGAAATTCTTACGAGGATTTTATGCTAACATCCGAAGAATGAAGAGTATATCCTGAAATATGTATTGGGTGCCACCCGCCAAGATTTCTCACCTCACCAGTGTAAACTCTTTAATTGCTTAGGTTTATTTCATTGATTTTCATTTTATAATTCTATAATAGTGAGTTTCTACTTGGCTAGCCAGAGGCTGAATTTCACCATATTTATATGAAGGAATTTAAGTCATATGTATAAGGGTAAAAAAATTATCACAATTTAAAATGGGGGAGGAACTGAAAAAATTAGGATTGCAAGTTGAGGATCTTTATGTGGGATTCAGGATCAAAACATGCACAATTTATTCCAACCGAAAAAGATCATTTGCAATGCGTTCCCATACTAAAAATAATTTGCAATGAATTCATTAGTTTTACTGTTTGACTATTTGTCAACCTGCTGGCTGGCAAACTGCATTATATCTCTCAACTTGCGACTTTGTCTTCGTACAGAGCACAAAAAAAAAAAAATAAATAAAATAAAATAAATAAATAAATAAAATGAAAGGTACCTGACCCCGGAGATTCCAACCCTTCCTAAATTTTTTAACATGAAAAGATATTGAGCGATTTGTATAATATCAAGAGTAATCAATGATTCGTAGATACCGTTGAACGTCTAAAATATATAAAAGGAGCGGATTAATTAAATGGTTCATTGGCGACTATTTTAGTTGTGAATTTTTTTATCACCGTTTTATTGAATCTCAATACATTGTTTCAAGACTTTTGTTGCATTGTATCTCGTTATTAAAACTTTCTAACAATTGCCGTCATAGGAGCACTAGTTAAGATAGCAGTCTCATTTGTTCAAGCCTTTCATGTGAGGTACTCAGATACCTTTCTCTATTAAGTGACTGTCTTGTTTCATATTGGTTTTGAAATAGGCTTTTTCGTTCTGTTGCTAATTTTTTTTATCAGAGATATAATTCCATTTCACCTTTATATTAAACATAACATTTTTAATATGAAAAGATGATGAGGGTGAAAGGGTGAATCATAGATACCATTGAACATCTAAAAAATATAAAGTGAACAGATAAATTAAATGGTTCATTGGCGCCTATTTTAGTTGTAAATCCTTTATTCCTAGTTTATTGAATCTCAAGAGATTGTTTCAAGACTTTTGTTGCATTGTATTTCGCTATTAAAACTTTCTAATAATTATCGTCAATTTTGACGACACGATTACATTAGTTTTTGAATAAACCATTAAAAATACTATCTTATCTCGCAATGGTAGCAAAATCGAAAATTCTTTGACCCAACCCCAAATTTAATAAATTGTTTCTTGGCTTATGGTCTATGTTTCGACAAAATGCCATTGGAATAATTAGAGAACTTTTGGAGACACTGGGCAGTTTTGTCAACCTAATAATCTTAAAACCTGGAGATCTCGATATCTAGCTTCAGAAAAACAGGGAGATTTTACCAATCATGGTCCGAAACGGAGAACCGTTTTTTTTTTTTTTTTCAATATGGATTCAATAGGAAGTATCTACATGCGGCAGCACTTTTAGTGGAGAGGGTTCAAGAATTTATTTATACGGAATTTCTAGTGAGAATTGGTAACAACAAACAATTAACCGGAAGAACACGTTACGAACTGGGCGACCGGGATAAAAAGCTCAAAAGTACGAGT